ACACCTGGTGGACATGCTCACGACTCCGACCATTCTGGAACACAATTAGAGAGGTAATACATGAAGTAACGGACGAAATGCTTCAGAGTTCCCCAGCAACGTTCCTCCTACATCACACGGATATGTCTATACCGACATACAGTAAATCTGTTATCCCACGGCTCTTAAACGCAGCCAAAGCGACGGTCCCAATATACTGGAAGCAGGCCACCACACCCTCCATCGCAAGATGGGTGGAAGAGGTGGAAGCAACCAGGAAATTCGAAGACATGAAGGCAACCACCCCGAACCTTAGAGATCGCTACACCAAACGCTGGTTTCACTGGATTAGACTAACCACCTCTGACGCTTTTCAGAACCGCATGGCGACACAGTAGGCGAAGGAGGAGAGTATTAAGCCAAAATAAATACGGCACTAACATGAAAAGTTGGGGACCGGCGAACCGAGACCGCGACAGGGGATGGAATCACCCACCATCACCAACCCAAAACACCCACATACACATAGACGAAACACGACTTGCCACCACATATAGACTTATATCCAAAGGACAACTGGAGGCGAGACAATGAACAGGCTAGTCAGGGACATACACAAGTGAACACACAACACATACGAGCGGCAGTGTACCAAGACTTCAAACTGCGCTGCCTGAACCAAGACCCACTACAAACACACGGACGGCCAAGACGTAAAGCAAACGGCCACTGCGGTCAGATAGCACCAGACGGAAGTTGCGAAACCACACGATCTGAGCGCCACACACATCCACAGCCCAAACACAGACCTTTTTGATCCACCCCAAAATCCACAGGACAGCACCACAACCACGCACACAGGCGAACCCACCTAAACGCGACGGCACCACGACAAACAGACAGCGACTCAGACACACAAACCGGAACCACAAAGACGCAACACTAGAGGCAGACACACAGAGCTCCAGAATAGAGCAACACAACATAGACACAACCATGGACACACGCAATAGAGGAGACACAGACTTACCGCAGAAGGTTTCACCATTACTAGCAGAGGGGAAGGACACGAAACGTACAAAACAAATACAACCCCAATATACACGAGCTGGTAGCCACAAGACACACTAGAACTCAGGGCTGCAGGCAAAAGGCCAGAGTGCGCAAACACTAACCCATTTTCGCAAGATGGGCCTTCACTGCAGTTTATGGCAACAGGGATAAATACGCAAACACAGGCATCTCAGAAGAAAACAGTGTATTTTTAAAATATGTCATCCACAGTGCACTCCCCAAATAAGGAAGTCGTCAGTTAAATATAAAGTGTGGAATGTAAACTGTACCATGCAACACTTTGTTCAAACATGTAATATAAAAGTCACGTAAATAAATTGTTCTATGGTACCCTTAAGAGCTAAAGTTCACGGACAAGGGCCGTGACACATCACACGCAAGGCTACATGACATTAGTGCTACACTGCTTAAAACCGCTGACTCAACGACTGGATCCCATACCCAGAGCACCTAAGACCAAACCCCCGCAGGGGAGAGCCTATAACACATCAGTCCATGTCGCATACCTAGCGGCAAAATGTGCGAGACGCACCTTAATGAAAGCACCCATTAACGAGCCACACTAGTACCATTCAATGAGTTGATAGCTGAATACACGTTACTAACTGCCACTCCTAATTGCCACTACATACCTGACAACAACGCCCTAACAACGCAGTACCAAGCAGGTTCAACGCCTTTTGTATGTCTAGCTTTGCAAGGCCTATGAATACCTAATATTTGTCATTGCGTGTTTATTTTGACTTCTACGCCTCTGCGCAGGCAACTGTGTTACTCTGAGCTAACTGGAATATGTCTGCCTCACGTTATCTACACATTCAATATGCACGCCTCTGCGTAGGCAACTATATGCATTAATAATACCCTGTTCAACACCCGTGTTTGTATTGATGACAATAAACATATTTAAAACAAACATATACAGGCTCAGTACGAACCGCTATGTGCTAACCTGTTCATTAGTAGAAATATACAACAGACAAGAGGTCACCAATTAAGACTGGAAGAAAGGCGTTTTCGCTAACAGCACAGGGTTCTCTAGAGTAAGAAGGTTGTATTATCAGATTCAATGGATAATCTAAAAAAGGCTTTGAGCTTTTTTAAATAAACAAAATATTCATGCACATAATTGGTATATATGGAAGCCGGCAGTTGATCCAAGGCGAAATCTGATTGCCATTATATAATCAGGAAAGATTGCTTTACCTGTTTGTGGCATAATTGGACATTTTTGAGCATAATTGGAAATAGTTTTATTTTGCCTTCTTTTGGATTAACAGCATACAAGAATGGGCTTCAGGGTTGAACTTAAAAGACATTATTAGTCTGTTTAACAGCCTAGACAATTATGCAACTATGTACTAAAGAGGGTGGTGTGATGAAAAGTGCATTGGAAATAAGTACATTACAGGCATGGTGTCTCAATAAAATGGGACTCTTCATGGCACTCATAGCATGTCTCTTTTCAGCCAGACATGATAGTTTGTCAGAATAAGGGTCAGATTATGTTAGTGTTCTCAGTTTATAACTGGATATTGAAATTGACACTGGCAATGTAGCAAGCTAAATTACCTCTACAGCCTTAGAGGGGCTGTCTCAGGATGCTGGGAAGAGCCATATTTTTTGTAATACCTATCAAAATAGTTTAACAAACAAATGGAGGGATAATGCCCATATTTTCTTGGCCACCTAACCACTACATGAAGCTGTAAAGGATATAGTGTTTAGAATACCATTTGACGTGAAATGCTTATTGAAGGAGCATAGTATTTTATGCTAGAACATTGAGGTCTTCATGCTTTAGCATGAAATTGCAAAAGCAAAATCCAAAGCAATGAGAACAATGTTATAATACAAAGTATTCTAGTAGTATTAGCTTTTCTCAAAAAGAATTTTATTTTACCATAAGGTATTCCACTTTAGAATGTACCTTCAAGAAAAAATAGAATGTATAGGGTAGGACTTCGTATGTCACGTATGTCCTTATATGTTACCGTGTATGAAGACAGCCAGTGGCATATCAAACCCATGATGAACTTAAAGTGTTTTTGTCACTGTAACAGAGTGACAAGCTGACTGTTGCTTACCTCTTAGCTGAACAGCCATCATGCTCCACAGTGAAAGTCAGAATGGGCACATTAGTCTAATGGGTGAATTATCAAACATTTATTTATAAAGTGATTCCTGGGGTACGTTTGCTAAACAGCAAATTATGATGAACTGAAAATGTAAATAAAAAAATGTATGCCCAAAACAACAAATGGTTTTTAAATAGTGTGTGTATGTATGTATATATATATATATATACACAAAAAATGTTTCTTGGCACTCACCCTTTCATGTAAATAATCCAATTTAGCCTAGGTGCAATCCCGTGTTGAAGATATATAAACAAAAGAAAAGAGATGCACTCCAAGGACTTAATAAGTGAAAAAAATGGGTAATTTATTCCAATAGGTATTGAATTAAAAATTAGCCGACGTTTCGGGTCTTTCTCAAGGTCAATGTACCTAGCTATAAAAGTTATATATAGGGAATAAGAAAATGTACTTAACACACTGCTTTTAACACACTTTATTTTGGGTTACCCTTTCATTGGGTACAAAGTGACACCTTTTATAGTGTATATGATATCACGATATTTTTTCACTTTCGTTCAATTTTTTTTCATATTTATGCTGCTTAATGCACATTGCACTTTCAATATATTTAATGTGATAGCATATATACACATTTTATAAACAGTTATTATGCATTTCACTTGCACACCCGGGATACATACCTGAGACCATTATACCAATCTTATAATTGTGTTTGTTTATCGGTATCCTAGCAACACCACGTCATCACACATGCATCACGTGACCGCGGGTTTTCACTTCCGGTTTCACTTCCGGGTTTGCACAAAGGGATTCAGGGGTTTCTTCATGATTGGTGAGTACATTTTCTTATTCCCTATATATAACTTTTATAGCTAGGTACATTGATCTTGAGAAAGACCCGAATGGGTTGAAACGTCGGCTAATTTTTTATGCAATACCTATTGGAATAAATTACCCCTTTTTTCACTTATTAAGTCCTTGGAGTGCATCTCTTTTCTTTTGTTTATATATATATATATATTGTGATCCTTGTCAGCAGGTAGCACGGTCCTCTAGGGCAAAAACATGCACAGTCCTTGTAATTCATATACTCCAGGCACTTTATTTGTAAGTTCACACAGGATACAGCAGTAAAATGAAAACATAAATGTAACAGAAAACCCTATAAACAAAACCTAGCTCGGTCTGAGCACTAACTCACTTTAGGTTCCCTATCTCTCAGGGTTAAACTAAACACAATATTGCACCAACCTTATTAGAGAGCAACGCTCTGCTATCTAACCTGTTGCTTTCCTTTCTGCACTCCCAGTGCTCCAAGCCAGCCTTGCCCTGACTGCTTTGCTTTCTGCACTCCCTGTGCTCCAAGCCAGCCTTGCCCTGACTGCTTTCCTTTCTGCACTCCCAGTGCTCCAAGCCAGTCTTCTTGACTATCTGGAGAGAACAGCCTCTCTCTCCTACCTGCTTCCTGGGAGGAAGCCAGCAATCCCTCTCCTCCACCTGCCTAGCAGGGAGGAGTTTATTTCCACTGCAATAGCTCATTAACTGCAGCTGAGCAGTGGGTTGGAGACGATCCAAAAAACCCTGGCCTGGATCTATGTCTCCCCAGAAAACCACTAAACTGTGGAGTGGAGCATTGGCCCACCCTTCTCTCCAAATGCTCCACCCCAGGGGCCCATAACTAAGCAAAGCTTTGTGTTGTGCAACACAGAAACTACACATACTTCCCCTGGGGTTAAAAGGCCTATCTGCCTTCACTTTATCACATAATATATATATATATATATATTTAGTGTAGATTGGATTAGCCGAATTAGTCCAGTAGACAAAATGCCAAAATACCAGAGTATTGCAGTATGCAATAATACCTTTTTTTATTGGACTAACTTTGAAATATAATGTTAGTCCAATAAAAAAGGTATAATTGCATACTGCAATACTCTGGTATTTTGGCATCTTATATATATATATATAGAGAGAGAGAGAGAGAGAGAGAGAGAGAAAGAGAGAGAGAGATTGTTATATCTATATATATCTATATATATATATATATATATATATTTCCTGGCCATATCCATGGCAGCACAACAATGGGTAGCTCCTCCCCATCCCTAGTTAGACAGGTATAAGTACCTCCTCCTACCCCTCCTACCCTTAGTCTTTTTGTTCCTGTCCTATCTCTAGGACAGATTAGTCTTTTCAGACAAAGAACAATTTTTTTTTCATGGCTTACTTTAAGGGTTTTTACCCTTGGCCCCCGGGGAGTTAAGCCTCTCTTCCTTGGGAAGCTCCAGTATATGGCCCTGTGCAAAGGTGTCCCCCTGGAGAACCCCCCAGTGACCGGGGGAAGCTTGCAATGACCCTAGGGGTAGCAAGCATAAGGAGCCACTACCCTACTGACTGCAGTGACCATAGGGGTGGCAGGTATGGGCAAGGCATAAACAGGATCGATATACCCGCTTCTACATTCATTTTCCTGGTTAATCCTGCCTTCTCTGATAGGGAGGCATTCCTCCTCTTGATTCAGCAGTTCTCTGCCTGGTGTTTATTCTCCCTTTTGGGGGAGTACAGGGCTTCCCTGGTGATCTAGGGTTCCCCCTGTCCCTATTCGCGCAACTTTCGCCACATTTCTGGCGGTCTGCTGAGGTTGGGAGACATGGGGTCTCCTTGCTGGCTTGGCGTCTGGTTTTTGCCATTGCGTTCGCGTCATGCCGTTTTTGCGCATGCGTGGAAGTGCCGGTTGCGCATGCGCGGTACGTCACGGTTCTGATTACGTCATTCAGTAGTTTGGGCGCCCTTTTTAAAGTGCCAATACTGAAATTTAACTTTCCAACACAGTCCCTTGATAACTTAAAGCGGTACAGTGCGGTCTTCACCCAGTTTTGTAGTGCAGACTGAAGGTAAGTCTTTTAAAGGCACAGTTGGTCTGTTTTTTGTTTTTTATTCAGTTGATGTTTTTTGAACCTTATTTTTAAGCCTTATAGTATTTTATGGGCTTAATTTTATAGATGAATTCATCTGAGATCATGGATTCAGACTCATCAGTTCAAAGTAAAAGGTCACTATCTAAATCTCAGGGGTAGGCCATTTCCTATATTTTTTCTTCAATTTTTCTTCTAAACAAAAGAGTGCTGACTAATATTTTTCCCTTATTATAGTAGTACTAAAGGGAAAAAGACAACTGGAACATCCAAAGGAAAGTCTACCGCAAGGTCCCTTTGCGAAGCATGTGACAAGTTGGCCCTGGAGGGGAAGCGCCTATGCTCAGATTGCCTACAGGCCGCAGGATGTCCCGCATCATCCACCCCGGATTTGATGCTAATTATTCAGAATGCTGTATCCCAATGCATTAAAGAGGCTGGCAGAACCCACAAAAGACCTAGATATCCAGATCCTCCCGACTACTCCCAATACGACTCTTCAGATGTGTCTATGGAGGAGACATACAGGGAGAGGTCATCTTCCTCGGATGAGGAAAAACAGCACGCTCCTGACACTTTGGACCCAACCGAAGTGGATCACTTAATTTCCAGGGTCCGCAAGTCTCTGAGCATGAAGTAACCTTCAAGAGAAGAGCGTTCTACATCCAGTTGATACTTTTCTGACCTCAGAAAAAAGAGGGTTCATTTCCTGGTTCATGAGGCGATTAAGGGCATCATTATGGAAGAATGGTCCAAAACAGAGATGTAACTTCCCAATCAGGGGAGAATTTCTCGCCTTTACCCTTTTGACAAAAAGGACGCAGGCCACTGGGAGTCAGCCCCTAAAGTGGATGCAGCGGTGGTAAGACTGGCCAAGCGCACTACATTGCCAGTGGATAATGCAGGATATCTAAGAGACTCCATGGATAAGAAGATGGACTCTAACCTGTCCAGGGTGTATGTGACAGCAGGCACAGGCCTCCACCCCGCGGTAGCCCTTACCTTGGTCTCCAGAGCTTTGAAGATCTGGCTGGAAGGCTTGGAGGAGGATATCAAAGAGGGCAGAAGCAGATCTAACCTCATGGGCAGTCTACAAGACATTAAGCTGGCCGTAGATTTCACTACTGAAGCCTCAGTGGATATGGTCAAAGCAGTGGCCAGGAACATGGCATTTTCCATCTAAGCTAGAAGGGCTTTGTGGCTCAGATCCTGGTCATCAGATGCTTCATCTAAGAATAGTCTCTGCTCTTTACCGTTCTATGGAGACATGCTCTTTGGTAAGAACCTGGATGATTGCATTAAGAAAGCGGCAGATGGCAAGAATGTTTTTTTTACCTCAAGATCGTAGGCCTAAGAGATCTTTTCGACCCAAAAGACCTTCAGATCAATCTTCCTTTCGGGACTTCAAATCCTACAGACCAGGTAGAGAATACAGAAGATCCCAGCCTTAGAGAGGGGGACAGTCTTCAGTCAGTGGAGGAAGATTCAGAGGCTCTGCATTCAGCAGGAACACAAGAGCTTTATGACGGGTTGATCTCCCAGCCTGGAGGGGTAGGAGCACGCCTCCTCCTATTCCAAAAGAGATGGAAGTCTTCTACCAAAGACAAGTGGGTGCTGGACATCATCAAAAGAGGATATCTTCTGGAATTCAGAGATGCCCCACCTCGTTGCAGTTTTCAAATTACAAGATGGCCGGGAGACAGAGACAAGAGATTGGCTCTTCTGGAGTTTATTTCTTCCATACAGCAAGAAGGCGTCATTATGGAGGTTCCAAAGGAGTAAAGAACACACAGGTTTTATTCTCACATATTCCTCACAAAGAAGTCCTTAGGAGCATGGAGACCCATTCTAGATCTTCACACTCTCAACAAGCGATTGAACATAAGAAGATTCAAAATGGAGTCACTTCAGTCCATCATCAAAGCAGTCTTCCCAGGGCAATGGCTGATGTCTGTAGATCTGCAAGATGCCTACTTCCATGTTCCGATCGCTCAACTGCATCAAATATATCTGAGATTCGCAGTAGAAGGAGGGCACTTCCAGTTCCGAGCCCTTCCCTTTGACCTCAGTACGGCTCCTCACACTTTCTCAAAGATCCTGGTGATCCTGATCGCAGAATTAAGAAAGAGGGGCATTGCCATTTTTCATTATCTGGATGACATCCTGGTGCTGTCAGAGGACAGGTACACTCTCAAGCAACAGGGACAGATCTGCATTCAGTTCCTGCAGGAACACAGCTGGAAGATAAATGGAGAAAAGAGTCACCTTATTCCTTCACAGTCCATGCTTTATCTAGGAGCCCTTTTCAACACTGCACTGGGGACAGTTCAGCTCTCAAGAGAAAGATGAGTAAAGCTCATCATGAATGTGAAGGAGATACGACAAGTCAAGGTCGCCATGGCAGAGAAAGTCATGAGCCTACTAGGATCCATCTCATCAACCATAGGCTTGACAAGATGGGCGCAATGGAGAATGAGAGCACTCCAGAGGAATTTTCTTTCCCAATACAGAGGGAAGAATCTACTCCAGCCCATCAGGATTTCCACCCCGGTCCATCTATGCCTGACATGGTGGATGAACAAGAAGACTCTGTTCTCAGGGTTCCCCCTGGGGAACATTCCCTGGATTACTATAACGACAGACGCCAGTTACTGGGGTTGGGAAGCCTACCTTCAGAATGAGGTCAAGTGGGTGAAGGTGAGAACGGACAATGCTACAGTAGTATCAATCATCAAGGAGGTACCCGAAGTCGCAGGATGGTAAGGTTGATGATTCCCCTTATGTCTTGGGCACAGAAGAACCTTGCAGGGCTAGTGGCGATTCATCTGCCAGGAGTGCAGAATACAGTAGCAGACTTCCTCAGCAGGGTAAGAATAGACCCAGGAGAGTGGAGCCTCTCAGACAAGTCTTCAAGGATATTGTCAAGAAATGGGGTCTTCCTCAGATAGACGTCATGGCCACCAACAACAACAAGAAGCTCCAGGGATTCTTCTCGAGGGGTCACGAACCGCAGGCCCGGGAGAGGGATGCCCTATCATGCAGATGGGTGTTCACAAAGGGGTATGCATTTCCTCCATCTCCCCTCATATTTCCTCTACTAAGAAGGATTCGTTGGATCAGTTTTCATGATCCTGATTGCCCCATACTGGCCTCGCCAGCCTTGGTTCCCTCTTCTTCTGAGCCTTTGTCAGGAACCTCCATGGGATCTTCCAGCAGTTCCTTCTCTTCTGCACCAGGGTCCTATCCTACACCCAGACCCAGCATCACTCAACCTGAAGGCCTGGAGGTTGAAAGGGAAAGGCTTCTAGAGAAGGGTTTCTCGGCTGCAGTCACAGATACCCTGTTACAGGCTCGGAAGCGGTCCACTTCTTCTACCTACTATAGAATTTGGGATGCTTTTTCTTCCTGGGCCTCTCCCAAGCAGGTTAACATACAGCATCCGGCTATTAAAGACATCTTGAAGTTTCTACAAACAGGTCTGGATAAGGGTTTGAGCTACAATACCTTAAAGGTACATGTCTCCGCTCTTTCAGCTCTCACTGACCACAAATGGGCCTTTAATCCAGATGTATCCAGGTTTCTTGCTGCAGTCCTCAAGATTAAACCTCAGATCAAGCCATTTGCTCCCCCATGGGATCTACCCCTGGTATTACAAGCCATGAAGTCAGCTCCCTTCAAACCCTTGGAGTCCATCTCTCCTCATTTTCTTACCATCAAGGGTGGTGGGGGGAGGCGAGGCTGAGGGTGGTGAGGTGAGGCTGAGGGTGGTGGTGAGGCTGAGGGTGGTGGTGAGGGAGTTGGGGTGGTGGGAAGGCTGAGCAGAACCTACCTTTTCTTCCCTGGTGGTCCAGTGGGCTCCCTGGTGGTCTGGTGGCCACTGCTTCCGGTCTGCAGCTCCGCAGAGCTGCAGACCATCAGAGCGTTGGCGTGGTAACCCGCGGCAACGCTCTGATTGGCCCGTTTTCGCGAGACACATGGTCTGCAGCTCTGCTCGCTGCAGACCGGTGTCTGCGTTGG